ACACTGACTTTGATAGCAAGGAATACGATATGTCAAATTTTTCAATCGTTTTACTCGTTAATAATTTATTTATTTAATTTTATTTGGTTCTAAAACTCAGTTACCCAGAAATTTAACTTAATTTCCTTTTAAAAGGTGTAGTCCATCAGCCCTACAAATCATTATTTGGTGAAATACCTATTTCCGATTTCAAAATAGTTTCTTAACCCTCCAAATGATTAAACAATGTGTTTAAACTTTCTTTGAGTAACACCTTACTCTGGCATGTTGCAATTGTCAAGTCTTCTTTACACTCGCAATGTGAAAATCGTGGTTGTTGGTGTACGTAAACACTGAAGAAGCTAGTTAAAATGTTGGGGGTAGCAAGGTCTATTTTTGTTCGGCCTGAAAGTAACAGTTTCGAGTAAACTAGATACCCAACTCGAATAGTTCGTACGAATGTTAGCAGCCTTGAGAGAACCTTCCAGAAAAGCTGTAGGTTTCGGAGGATACCATCTATAACAGAGTAGTACTGGTTTGTGGTGCTAGAATATATCAAGTGTATTTTATGTAACGTATAATGTGTCATAATGAGCCAAGGAATATTGACGTTGAACCTTGCCCGGGATGGAGCCAGTATGCCGTGGGGATTCCGCCTTCAAGGAGGAAGTGATCTTGGCCAACCCCTGACCATTCAAAGGGTGAGAAGTACTTTTGATTTTGTAATTTTTTTTGTAAGGCGTTTAAAGTTATTCTATTGTTGTTGTTTTTCTTTTCTTGTCAGTTTTGAAGGCTCATAAATTCTCATTGAAGTAAACATTTACCTCTAACGTCTCAAATAAACTGTGAATAAAAAAAAAAAAAACAACAAAAACTGTAGGACAAAAACTTCATCCCGTGATTAGGTGTGCAAGATCCTAAAGTAAGGGTTTAAACACATAGATCTACTGACGTGTCCTAACAGAAAAATCGAACCCAAAAGCTTTTGACTTCACGATCACTCTGAACACTGCTGTCAAGTTTGCACATGTTTACTAACAAAATATTTCATTGATACAACAAATATATCTAAATGATCGAGTTTTAGCTACTTATCTATACATACCTAAATATATGTGCTTAATCTATTAATATCTTTATGATTTTAATCAGGGATTATACAATTCGCTGTGATTTTAGATTATAATTTCATGTATTTTAAAGTATTTTTAAAAGACAATATTTTGTTATTTAAATTGTATTGTTTTTAAGGTGAAAAGAAATAGAGCTTAAAAGTAGTGAAATGTACGAAACCGGTTCTTTAAAGAACGAGTAATTTTAAATCATTTTGAAAGGCAGAAGAAAACAAAGTGTTATATGTTATATACGTACCAATCTGTTTCTATATCTAGCATCTCTTTCACTGTAAAATAGACAGCCATACGTACCGTTTGCAATTTTACAATAAAGGTTGATTTTCACAGTAATCACAAATCTTCTTTGTACTTTCTTAGTATTTTAATACTGGAGATTTGTGTATTGTACTACCTTATATATCTTAAATATATAAACAATATATTTGTCTGCTGTTAAAGGATAGCATGGCATACAGTCCTTATAGTGTGTAGACACACTTAGGTATGAACCTATTTTTCACTAATCACTTCTAAAAAATACGAAACATGAAATAATCACTTTATTCAAATCTACTGAAAAATTTATTTGTCAAAAATCTTAAATGAGAAATTTACAAAGTCGAGTAACTCTGTTAAAGGCTTCTGTTACCATAAGGCAAACCTTAACCAAATTGCTACACTGACTAACTAAGTGTTTAGAAAAGGTTTAGGTTATACACAATGCCACTAATAATTTATTCTATTTAACGAAATTCTTGATAAGACAAATTAAAGCGAACCAGTTATGGCTTTGGAATGAATTTGGTTGTTACGATTAAGCTTAGCTTTATCTTGATTTTTTATATGCATTTATTGCTCGTTTATTTAAAATTCTCACACAAAGCTACATAAGAGTTATCTGCGCATAGCCGTCCCTAATTTTGAACTGATGGATAAGATGGAAGGCAACTACTTAAAAATACCAACCGCCAACTTCTGGGCTACTCTTGAGTGACCAAACTGTAGAAAGTGATCGTCGCTCCTATAGCGCATTTACGGCCCTAAAGTGTGGAACGAGTTTTTTTTTTGGCTACGGGACACGAAACGTGAACTCTCGGATTCACAGTCTGGGTACGCTAACTACTTAGCCATGCTCGGCTCAGCCATTTATTTGTCTAGGAATTCAAAAGAAACATTAAAGTTCGAGAACTATATACCTTGGAATAATGAATATTAGTGAAATATTGATGGAAGTCGTAACTTTCATTATTAAATGTTTACTGTTGAAAATCCAAACTTGTGGTTTTGGAAATGTTTTTATATATTCTAATATAACAAAACACTTTCTGTGCTGTAAAAATATAGTGGATAAATAATAATTTTATACCAATTCTCAATACAAAAAAATCTAATCTTTAAATTCAACCTTTGTTCTACTCTTTTCATTAAAACTAACATACACATATAATACGACAGTTCATCCTTCCAACACTGGAACATAGACAAGATTATTTTTGGGAGGACTCGGCTTCTGGTTTTATGTACGCCCGCTTTTGCTACCACGCAAATGCCATATAGCGTTGTTGGTAACACGAACCGCTTATATTTTTTTTTGTTTTCATACGCATGCGTGATATCCTTAAAGTGTAAAAGATTTGACTGGAAACAAGTTTAAATGAAATTTATACAAATTTTCTATTATGTCATAAAAGTAACGGACACTGATGTAATATGAATAGTTTTATTAGTTTCTGGACATAAAATAATGTGGGCATGTCAGTCTTGTGCTTTTGACACATCATCTGGACAATGAGCAGAGTTAAGAGTTTACTATTACTTGTATTTTGCTTTTAGTCTTACATTCATTTAATGTGTACCACAGTATTTTCATTATTGGGTGAATTATAATTTTTAAACTGTATTAATCTGATATAATGTGTATTACTGATAAAATGATATATAGTATTGCAGTATGCAAGCATACTGGGTGTTTCCTGTTTCCTTTATTTAATAATGTGAGCTCTTAAAGGTCACCTACTTTTTTTTTCAAAAATTTCGTCCATATATATATGTATGTAGGTTTAGAATTAAAATATTGGACAAAGGATGTAGCTAAGTTCCTTTCGCCTTACTTACCTATTGTTATGGGTCATTCCCCTATTGTATCGCATGCGCTTTCTCGTGAGAACGATTGCGGTAAAGAAGAACATACTATATAAAGGCTGGCAGTCATTTTCCCCACAGATAGGTCAGGCAATAGCTTGAGAATTATATAATCTCTTATATTTCTAGTGGAATGATCAGCAATGACGTGAATAGTGCATGTACCCTGAGAATCATAGCACTGTAAAATTAGTCTCTCTCTCTCTCTCTCTCTCTCTCTATATATATATATATATAATGCTCTGTTTTTTCAATCTGGGTTGGTTGGCTGTTTGAAGTTAATCACAAAGCTACACAATGGGCTATCTGTGCTGTACCCACCACGGGTATAGATACCCTGTTTCTAGCATTATAAGTCTGCAGACATACCGCTGTCACTGGGGGCAAACCTTTTTCTGGAAATGAAACCAGCACACATCGTATTTAGTTCTTTTCTTGTTTGTATATAATTATATATTCATAATGGGCAATGGACTATCTGCCATGTCTACAGCGGAAAATCGAACCCAAGATTTTAGTATAGTAAGTCCATAGACTTACCGCTGTCCCACCAGAGGATTTCAATCTGGAACAAAATTCTTTATAAAGAAGAAAGCTCTCAATGCATGAACTCGTCACTATAACTGGTTTTAGGCTTTAAATCAATATTACTTTTCCACTTTATTAACAGTATGTTAAGTGCCTTTTTTCAAATTCAGGCAGAGTTAAAAATCCATTTAAATAATTTTCTTTTTAAATCTCTTGCTATTCGCCAGTTCTACCGAATCTGGTGAGGAAAACAGTTTATTTGGAAATACCAAAGTACTGTATTTTTCAATTATACTTGAAACTATATAAAATTTCAACATGAAAGGTAAATTTGGAGAACAAACAACAAATCTCTCAATTAGTGTTATTCTTTATAAAGAATAACTACTTGAGGTTATTTTTTATTTGCATTCAAAATCAAATAAAATAAAATGCCAGGTTTGATCAACCTTGATACATTTGTCATGGCTACATTGCTTTTGCTGTTAATTCATATTAAACTTTTGTGCAGTATGGCAAATAAAGCCTTATTTGTTTGTTATTTGGAAGTCAATGAACTAGTCCATCACATACATTAACACACTGAGACAAGGATATTAAGCTAGACCATCTAGGATGAAAGTGTAAAAATTGGAGTCAGCATGGACCCATAAAACATAAAAACACATACATTCCCTGCCGGGTATCGAAATAAACAGGTGATACCATATGCAAAGAATGGCAACACAGTCTGAGACCTGTTATTGGCAGAGTAGTGGTCCACTGCCACTCAAGCGCCCTATACTTATGGCAAAAGAATGAGCACTTAGCTTGATAATGGGTAGAATGGCAGCCACCCACCCACAAAAGACTATTCTTCTTCTATTCAGTGACAGAAATCAAATGGTGGGTATGGCAATGGTGAGCTTGTATCTTATTTTGTGGAGAGAGTTTCTATGTTTGCTCACTTAACAAATTCAGATATCAGATAAGTTTAAAAAGAAGGTTAAAACAAGGACTCCTTGACACCAATTTCAGTAATATTTTGTCCATTATAAATAATTGAAGGAATTGGAAGGAATGCAAATTTATATCAAATGATCACAGAGACAAGCCAGTTAAGCAGCTTGTAATTCTCAAACATTTTATCAAGAAATGTTGCATATACTTCACGATTTCAAAACAAGAGGGAACCTAAGAGTACTTAATATACTTTACAATCTTTCACAATCTCGATTATAATTGCAAAGAACACAGTGTATAAAGAGGAGCAACTGTTAAATGTACACAGCAAGGGGAAAATGTAAGGAAGGATGAAGAGTGGTAGGCTGGCTCCTATTTGTAGCAAAGAACCTTGTTCTTAATTTAACCATTCATTTTGATATACGCTAGTCACTGATGATTACTTTATCAAAATAGATAGATTATTATTCCCAAACCTAATTCTAGTACTCAAACTGTAGATTTGTTGGTTGGAAATTTCACAGCTAGGTTTGATGTTACAGAAGAAATCCACATTCATCAATCCACTACTGCTTGTAGGGTTCTGCTATATACACTTGCAGTTATAATACGAATCCGAATATTGTCATGTCAGTTATTGTTTGATAGGTTTTCAGATGTATTTTAAAGACAGCAAAAAACATATTGTATAAGTTTATCCACTAAGAGTGGAATGACTGGGATGACAACCTCCTATATTCCAAGATGACATACTAGGACAGAACTTTCTGTTACTCCTGTTTGTGATGCTAGGTTAAGAAGTTTAACCAAAGGATATCATGTACTGGTACTCTCCATGCATTATTATTCCAGATGGATACTAGACAAACATTTCTGTAATTCCTCTTTGTGGTGCTAGGATAAAAAGGTTACCCAGTGGGTTTCATATGAAGGTAATCTTCATGCATTATTATTCGAGATGGCATACTAGGACA